GTTTATTGGACCCGTGTCCCTCCTGGTTAGTGCTGGCTTCTCGGGAGGTGACACGAGGCTGGTTCCAGGGGATTATAAATGCTTCGCTGGGTGAGGGTGTCTTTCCTGCCGCCTTGAAAGAGACGGTGGTGAGGCCTCTCCTCAAGAAGCCTTCCCTGGACCCGGCAATGTTGGTAAATTATCGTCCGGTCTCCAACCTTCGTTTTGTGGCGAAGGTTGTTGAGAGTGTGGTTGCGCAACAGCTCCCCCAGCACCTGGATGAAACGACGTATCTGGATCCGTTCCAGTTGGACTTCAGGCCCGGGTACAGCACGGAAACGGCATTGGTCGCATTGGTTGATGATCTCTGGAGGGCTCGGGACAGGGGGTGCTCCTCTGTCCTGGTCCTGTTAGATCTCTCAGCGGCTTTTGATACCATCGACCATGGTATCATGCTGCACCGGTTGGAAGAGTTAGGGGTGGGAGGCACTGTGTTGCGGTGGTTCTCCTCCTTTCTCTCTGACCGGTCGCAGTCTGTGTTGACAGGGGGACAGAGGTCAACCCCGAGGCCCCTCATATGTGGGGTGCCGCAAGGGTCGGTCCTCTCACCTCTCCTGTTCAACATTTATGTGAAGCCGCTGGGCGAGATCATCTGTGGTTTCGGGGTGGAGTACCATCAGTACGCTGATGACACCCAGCTGTACATCTCCACCCCGGATCACCCCAACGATGCCCTTGAAGTGATGTCCCGGTGCCTGGAGGCCGTACGGATCTGGATGGGGAGGAACAGGCTCAGGCTCAACCCATCCAAGACTGAGTGGCTGTGGTTTCCGACGTCCCGATATAGCCAGTTGACGCCATCACTGACTATTGGGGGCGAATCATTGGCCCCCACGGAGAGGGCTCGCAACTTGGGCGTCCTCCTGGATTCACGGCTGTCTTTAGAAGAGCACTTGACGGCCGTGACCAGGAGGATCAGGTCCGCCTGATTCGCCAGTTGCGTCCCTTTCTGGATCGGGACTCGTAACGCACGGTCACTCATGCCCTCGTCACCTCCCGCCTGGACTATTGTAATGCTCTCTACATGGGGCTCCCCTTGAGGAGTACCCGGAGGCTCCAACTGGCGCAGAGTGCGGCCGCGCGGGTGGTAATGGGAGCGACATGGCGCTCCCATGTAACACCTCTCCTGCGCGAGCTGCACTGGCTCCCGGTGGTCTTCCGGGTGCGCTTCAAGGTTTTGGTTACCACCTTTAAAGCGCTCCATGGCTTAGGGCCTGGTTATTTACGGGACCGCCTACTACCACCAATAGCCTCCCACCGGCCAGTACGCTCTCATAGAGAGGGACTCCTCCGGGTGCCGTCAGCCAAACAGTGTCGACTGGCGGCCCCTAGGGGGAGAGCCTTCTCTGTGGGGGCACCTACCATCTGGAATGAGCTCCCCCCAGAGATACGGAGGATCCCGGATCTGCGCTCCTTCCGCCGTGCTGTGAAGACCTTTTTATTCCATCAAGCGGGCTTGGCCTGATCTCTTCCCTTTTTAAATACGTAAATTTTAATCTGTTTTTAAATTATTGGGGTATTTTAATTTGTCTGGGCCAAATAATTTAATTTGATTTTATCGGGTTTTTAAATTTTGTGTATTTATGTATTTTATTGTTGGCTGTTCACCGCCCTGAGTCCTTCGGGAGTAGGGCAGTATACAAATCAAATAAACTAAACTAAACTAAACTAAGGTCAGTGACCACCCCATCATGATTATCAGGGACATTAAGCTCGTTCTTGTATAGTTCTGTGTAATTTTGCCACCTCTTCTTAATCTCTTCTGTCTCTGCCATTTTGGTTCTTTATCATGCCCACCTTTGCATGAAACGTTCCCTTCATATCTCCAATTTTCTTGAAGAGATCTCTGGTCCTTCCTATTCTATTGTTTTCTTCTATTTCTTTGTACTGTTCATTTAAGAAGGCATTCTTATATCTTCTAGCTATTCTCTGGAATTCTGCATTCAATTGGATGTATCTTTCTCTTTCTCCCTTGCCTTTCGCTTCCCTTCTTTCCTCAGCTATTTGCAAAGCTTCCTCAGACACCCATTTTGCTTTCTTGCATTTCTTTTTCTTTGGGATGGTTTTAGTTGCTACTTCTTGTACAATGTTGCGAACCTTCATCCATAGTTCTTCAGGCACTCTGTCTATCAGATCTAATTCCTTAAATCTATTTGTCACCTCTACTGTATATTCATCAGGGATATGATTTAGTTCATACCTGAGTGGCCTAGTGCTTTTCCCTACATTCTTAAATTTAAGCTTAAATTTTGCAACGAGAAGCTCATGATCTGAGCCACAGTCAGTTCCTGGTCTTGTTTTAACTGACTGTATAGAGCTTCTCCATCTTTGGCTGCAGAGCACATAGTCAATCTGATTTCTGTGTTGACTGTCTGGTGATGTCCATGTGTAGAATCATCTCTTGGGTTGTTGGAAAAGAGTGTTTGCTATGACCATTGTATTCTCTTTGCAAAATTCTACCAGCCTGTGCCCTGCTTCATTTTGTATTCCAAGGCCAAACTTGCCAGTTATTCTGGTTATCTTTTGACTTCCTACTTTAGCATTCCAATCGCCCATGATAAGGACATCATTTTTTTGTGTTAGTTCTAGAAGGTGTTGTAGAGCTTTATAGAACCAGTCAACTGCATCCTCTTCAGCACCAGTGGTTGGGGCATAGACTTGGACTACTGTGATGTTGAATGGTTTGCCTTGAATTCAAACTGAGATCATTCTGTCATTTTGTGGATTGTATCCCAGTACTGCTTTTCCTACTCTTTTATTGACTATGAAGGCTACTCCATTTCTTCTGAGGAATTCTTGCCCACAGTAGACCATTTGATGGTCATCTGAATTAAATTCACCCATTCTTGTCCATTTTAGTTTGCTGATTCCTAAAATGTTGATCTTCAGTCTTGTCATCTCTTGTTTGACCACGTCCAGCTTGCCTTGATTCATGAATCTTACATTCCAGGTTCCTAAGGAGAATAGATCTTTACAGCATCAGACTTTCCTTTCACCAACAGATACATCCATAGCTGAGTGTCCTTTTGACTTTGACCCAGTCGCTTCACTTTTTCTGGCACTACTAGTACTAGCCCTCTGCTCTTCCCCAATAGCATATTGGATATCTTCCAACCTGAGGGGCTCATCTTCCAGCGTCATATCTTTTTGCCTTTTAGTACTGTCCATGGGGTTTTCATGGCAAAGATACTGGAATGGGTTGCCATTTCCTTCTCCAGTAGATCACGTTTTGTCAGAGCTCTCTGCTATGACCTGTCCGTCTTGGGTGGCCCTGCACAGCATAGTCCATAGCTTCATTGAGCTGTGCAAGCCCCTATGCCATGACAAGGCAGTGATCCATGAAGGGGAAAGTGAAATATAACATATTCTTATTTTCCTAAACGGTATTGGCAATAAGAAAATTTACTGAGCTCTAAAATTATTTTCATTAAATAGTTCCTTAGGTCATTATTCATATCCTTATTCCTGCAATAGTAAAATAAGATTCAAGTTTTCAGAAACAGCACAAAATCTAAAAGGGGTATGATACATGTAAGTAAATCTTTGCATTTGAGTACAGAAGGAATGTATCAGTATTGCATCCAAGCTGATTCATTAGTTAGCCATATGGGTCTTTCAGACTCTTTCAGGCATATCACAAGGCAACCAGAAAATAGAAAACCGCATTGACATGGTTCATTGCCATAAGCCATTATTTCTTAGCTTGCAAGGAGACTGCACAACAGTAGGAACAAAATTGTTATGGAGGAACTGCTATTTAAACATGCAAAATACATGTATTATACTGTATATTTGTACAGGGGTGAAATGCTCCTGGTTTGGACCGGCTCGCGAGAGTAGGTAGCGATGGCGGCGGGCAGTTCGGAAAACCAGTAGCAAAAATCCCTGCCCCCGCCCCCCATGCCCAGCTGAGCCACGCAATCATCAGAGCTCTGACGATCATCAGCGCTCTGACGATCCAAGCTCTGACGATCCCAGCTGAGTTGCTTGCTAATCAGGCAACTCAGCTTGGATTGTCAGACCCATTTAAAAGAAAAACGTTTCTTTTTTTCTCCCCCCCCCCCCAGCCTCCAGCTTGCTTACCTTAGCTGCTGGTCGCAACGAGCTTGCTGTAATACCTGCAATCCATTGCATCAGCAAGCAACTGAATCTCCCTGCCTGCAATCAAGCTCATCGGTGAGCTTTTTATAAAAATAAAAATAAAATAAAATAAAATAATATTTGTGCAGCTTTCTGAGATTTAGTGTGTTTCTGTAGTGTTTCACTCTAACTACACAAACACACAAAATATCACAAAGCTGTATGTGGAATTTTGTGTGTGTAAAGTGTGAAAGTTGGTTTTTTGGGCTTTTTGTGGTTGTGTGAGGTTCCTGCTTGTTGCGGGACCATTTTGGGTCTAGCATTGCTGCTTTTACATTGTGAGTGAGCCAGTTGTGTTGTGTTGTGTTTTGTAGGTAAAAAAGGGGAAAGAAGTGACATTGACTTGGCCACGCCCACCCAGTCACCTTATCACCAAGCCATGCCCACTAATTAAGCCACGCCCACAGAACCGGTAGCAAAAAAATTCAGATTTCACCCCTTTATTTGTATTAATGGTACCTGTATTTACTCAGTTAAAAAACGTTTACATTTGTGTTGGTAAAATATGAGGTGAAAATCAATGCGAATCAGCCTTATAATGCACCAAGATATATTAGGACAGAGATGACATGGCTCCTGTATGATGGCTAAGCTGAAATTGTTTGACCAACATTATTTTCATCTAAGTCAGCTACCCCACAATGTTGATTGGGTAAATGTCGATATATTATTATACGATGTTGCTTGTTTGCTTCAAACTATGAATGTTGGGAGCCTTGGATAAAAATGAAATGAAGAGGTGCATTTTCTCCCTTCTTTAATGACAACTTTCTTGGAAGTAATTAAGCACCTTGTTTTTGTTTTCCTTATAAACTATACAGGTTATCTGTCCGCAGGCATAGCTCAGTGGTGGTGAGTTTGCCTGGACTTGAGATGTTCCCTGGAGACTTGATGATATCAGACAGTGCAGCACAATTCCTATATCAATCAGCATCACTGCAAAACTCAGGTCAGGGAGGGAAAACTGTGAATTGGGATTTTAACTCAAAATAACTTCTGGGGTTTATATACTGTTAAATGTAGCACTGCAACAACAGTTTTACATCATTGGCTGTGAAAACAACACCAGTCCCCATCAAAATGGTCTGTGCCCCAGACCTTGGTGGGAAAGAACACGATAAACTCTAAATGTGGATAACAAACCACAATTTCATGTTCGTATATAAATATTATGTGTAGACAATGCCCCCCCAAACCCGCAACATAATAGTTCAAACTGAAGACCTGGTTTGTTCAGCATGCTAGGACAATGGCTTTGTTTCTAAAAAGATTCTGAATCACAAACAAACATTAGTTTAATACATTAGACAAATCAAGGTTAGTTCTCACAATAAATTAAAGTATGAATGGAATTAAGAGTTGAGGTGGCATAATAACAAACCATGTTTCAGTCATCTTCATCAAAGGCCAGATGAAGAGCCAGGCTTTCAGGCCCCTTTGAAACACCAGCAGGATGGGATCTCCGGGAAACCTCATTCCGGAGCGCAGGATGTGCAACAGAGAAAGGTGCTTCTGGAGTACTAATAGATGGCATTGCTAAATTGAAGGGACTCCAAACACATCAACCCTGCTAGATCAGATACTATGGGACAGGCAGTCCCTCAAGTAATTAGGCCTTATGCCAAGAAGGTGTTTGTAGGTAATAGCCAGCATCTTGAATTGCACCAGAAGCAAATAGGCAACCAGTCCAGCTTGCAAAGTAGAGGTGTTACATGGGTATACTGTGGAGGCCCATCAGTGTTCATGTTGCTGCATTCTGGACCATTTGAAGCTTCCATATGGTCTTCGAGATGAGCCACATATTGCTGGCAGGAAAAACATGCACACCAGATGAAGCTGTGTAAAAGCTTTCCTGACCACAGTTCTCATCTGCTCATCAGGAAGGAACTCTGAGTCCAGGAACATCTCCAAATTACACACCACCCTTGAATGAAAAAGTGCCACCTTATCTGTGGTTAAAGTTGGAACATCCCCAGAACTGGGTGGTCTAAACAACTACAGCCATTTGGTCATAATAGGATTGAGCTCTCTTGGCTGGGTTAGAATCAAAAGATTTAACTGGGTATCATCAATATATTGATGATGCCAAACCGCAAACTGATGGATGACCTCACCCAGCAATTTCAAGTTGATGTTGAAAAGGGGATAATAGAGAGTACCTGCAGCACCTCACAGGAAGCAATGTTTCTCCCGCAACCAACACATTGCGAGTTTTCTTCCCTTTTCCTAATCTTTTTCCTTCTTTTGCTGAACACTGTTGGTTGGTTAGTGGAGAAGAGCCTGGTGATACAAGACCCATCTACCAAGATTTTCTTGGTGTAACATCTTGTAGGATACCAGACATGATTCCTGGAGAAATGGAGCTGTGGAGGGAATGACTCAGTATTCTCAAAATGGCAATTTTTGACAAAGTTAGTTGTGTGCTGCTAGAACATTGTAAATTGATTTGAGTGGGTTAGCCCTCTGGAATAGTGTCCTCCCCAAAGGTTCAAATTTCTCTGATTCTGCTGTCCTATAAATGGGCCTTGAAGACCTGGTCTTTTCCCAAGGCCCTGGATCAACTGAGTAAACTATGTTTATTTATTTTATTTTTATTTTATTTCCAATTTATACACCGCCCTTCTCCCTGAGGACTCAGGGCAGTGTACAGCCAGAATTAAGAACATGAAATACAAATATTAAAAACAATTAATATATATATATAAATTTGGCCCAAAAATTAAAAATCACAAACCAATTAAAACATTTAAAAATTTCTTCTTAAGCCAGCCCGGCTTGCTGGAAAAAGTGGGTTTTAAGGGCACGGCAGAAGGCACTGACGTCTTGGATTCTCCTTATCTCTAGGGGCAACTGATTTCAGAGGGTAGGTGCCCCCACAGAGAAAGCCCTCCCCCTGGGGGTCACCAGCCTACATTGTTTGGCTGATGGCACCCTGAGGAGGCCCTCTCTGTGGGAGTGCACAGATCGATGGGAGGTCGTCGGTAGCAGCAGGCGGTCTCGAAGATAGCTAGGCCCTATGCCATGGAGCGCTTTAAAGGTGATGACCAACACCTTGAAGCGCACCCGGAAGACCACCGGGAGCCAGTGCAGCTCACGCAGGAGCGGTGTTGTGTAAATAGGATCACAAAATCATATTTTCTACGATATATATTTTTGTTACTTTAACAATGCTTTTCTTTTGCTTCCATGTAATAGAATCCAAAAGGACATGGTGGCCATTTGCTAAAAAAGGAATTGTGAGTATTTTGCAAATTTTGCAGATTTTCCCTCTCACTCTCAGTTGATACTCTATACATTGAAAACCTGATGAAATTCTTTGTCGCAATATCTGCCCTCTGGAATATTATTTATGTTTTCCTGACTCCACTGACTTTTTAATGGGCCTTGACAACCAGGTCTTTTCCCTGGATTAAGTGTGCTCTTGAATGAAATTATATTAATTTGGCAGAGAGACAGGCGGAAAGAAGGGAGGGAAGAAGGGAAGGAGGGAGGGAGGGAGGGAGGGAAGGAAGGAAGGAAGGAAGGAAGGAAGGAAGGAAGGAAGGAAGGAAGGAAGGTTTGAATTTTAAATTCAGATCAAGAGTTAGTCAACATATTATCTATAACGTATTATAAAATAGCAGGGAAGGGAAGCTGTTTATCATTATAGCAGCCCTGTATTTTGCACTGATATTCAACTTATATAGTATTTCTATAAGCTATATAAAGACACAAGCCATGCTACAGCAAGCCTTAAGTTTTCTTTCACTTTGTTGGAAGAAAGAAAGGTACACCCTCATAATTTAAGGAGGATAAATAAACTGTCATTTAATTCTTCTGCATGCAATACATTCTGAAAATATTCATTTATAATAAAAACACGCACAATATTTCCCTGTTTATTTTCCTATGCCAATGCTGACTAATATAGTAGATTGATCTTCTTTGTTTTTTTATCTATATTTCATAATGGTTGGCAATCACATTATATTAAAATTCATGTATCTTCTGGACTGCCTTCTTGAAGTTTGATCTTATTTTTCTAAAGGGAGATTTTATTGGGAAATGATCTGCAACCTTCCCTCTTCCCTCCAGTTTAAAAATATGATTTAACTTTTTCAAATTAACATGTGAATTTTCTTTTTAAATAGAATAAAGACAAACAAAAACAAATGGCTGAGCTGGAATATTGTCTCTCAACTCAAACCATTAAAATGTCAGAGTGTGGTGGCTACAAATTTCACAATGTAAAGGTATAATATTTCTTATCAGATAATTTTTAGCTAAGTTTGTTTTAACTTTGTACTTTGATTTTAACTGATTATTTTTCTCAGTGCAATATATAAATACCAGAGGTGTTATTCAGCTGGTTTGAATCAGTTTGCCCAAATTAGTAGCGGAAATCACAGATAGGCCTGCCCACCCACCCCGGCTCTATGCCATCCTATTTGGGCACATTTTTGAAGCTGGTGCATGCACGGAAGGCGCGCGCACCAGCAAAGCACATGCACAGAAGGCTGGTGCATGTGTGGACAGGTGCATGCCAGTGGTGGGTTGCCCACCCCCCGGATCGCACCGGTTCTATAGAACCAGTAGTAAAGCTGGTGGGAGGCTCCGCCCACTGACCCAAACGTGATCAAAAATTTTATTTTTTTTATTTTTATTTTTTTTAATTTGATTTATATGCTGCCCTTCTCCGGAGACTCAGGGCGGCTTACAATGTGTTAAGCAATAGCCTTCATCCTTTTGTATATTTATACAAAGTCAGCTTATTGCCCCCACAAACTGGGTCCTCATTTTACCTACCTTAGAAAGGATGGAAGGCTGAGTCAACCTTGAGCCTGTGAGTTTTGAACTTACAATAATTGCAGACAGCTGGTGTTAATCATAATGCTATCAGTCTGCTGAGCCACCAGGCTTCTGCGCATGCGCAAAAGAGCACACATGCGCACGAGTGAAGCGAGTGCATGCACACGACCCCATTGTGAACCGGTAGTAAAGGTAAGTAGAACCCACCCCAGCACACGCACATTTGCAAACCCGTAGGGAAAGTAAGTGAATATCACCCCTAATAAATACTATTAATGTTATTTTATATGAGCTTTAATCCTATAATAAATATTCAACATATGACCATCAACAATCATTCTGGTATTAAAACAGCAAAGATCCATTTGAGAATGTATACGTATAAAGAAGCATACTGTATATTTATATTCACAATTACAGGATAAAACATGGCATGAAATGATGAAGATGTATCAACTCGAGGCACAAGCCACTAGCGATCAGTTAGATACAAAGAAGAAAGAAGCTGTGTGGGAACTATTCACAACAGAATGCAATTATTTTCTTGATCATCTGTTGGTTCTCAAAATGGTATGCTTACGTTTTTCAGCTATTTTACTGCTTGCTGCTTAGCCATTCACCTGACAGAGGTCTTGTGCAACCATTTGCTCCATTGAGGGTAGTGTTCTGTAATATCAGATGTCAGCCATAGCAGGGATTGCTCAACAAAACTCTGGCAGTTTTTACAAACCAATTTCAAGTGGAATGAAGTGAATTGGAAAAGGATATCTCTAATCTAAAGCAGATCCATACTTTCTGCTTGGCCTATCAGCACTGAGGGCTGCTGTCTGTCATCTGAGTGCAGGAATGGATGACAATGTCCTCCTCTCATTCCAGCCCACAACACACATCCAGTAGTGGGTTGCCCCCGGTTCGGACCGGTTCTATAGAACCGGTAGTAAAACTGGCAGAAGGCTCCGCCCACTGACCCTGATGTCATCAGAAGTGATCTGTGCATGTGCAGAAGCTTCTGTGCATGCGCGAGCGAAGCGAGCGTGCACGCACGATCCTGTTGCAAACCGTTAGTAAAGGTAAGTAGAACCCACCCCTACACACATTCCATATCTATATTTTCCAGTGTCAGCTCAGAACTGTGGTTTTGTGATGGGACCTATCTAAAGCGCTTCAGCACAGATGGTCTCCAGTGGTCCATTCTAGTAGCAGCCCATGTTCCATGAAAAGTCATTCCTTGCATGCCCTTGCCCTCCCAATGCTGGATGCTTCCCTTGCAGCTATTTCATCCTGGATTGTTAGGCTTCTGGGTTTTCTGCTGGTGGGTAGTCGCTATTTTAAAAATAATCTTGACATTAAAGTTAATGATCCATTACACATCAACGACTCATCTTCAACCCCAGAAGTTTATGTTCCATTCAAGCTGCACAGTTCTGCAAAGCTATCCTTCTTTAGAAAACAAAAAGCTTTAAATTGCAATGGAGAGACATGGCTATTTGTTTCTATAAAGCTGAACTCAGTCCTTTCTTGCTAAAGAGCTTCCATGGCACTACAAAGGAAACAAGAGTAACCAGTGCTCTGACCAAAAATTTGTAGTAGTTCGGAGAACCGGTAATAACATTGGCTGGCCATGCCCCCAAACCAGTCTCCGGCCCGGTCGCCGCTCACTTACCCCGCCCACCCCATCAGAGGCTTTTTTTTTCCCGTTTTAAAAGCATTTTTTCTACAACCTCTTCGGCCGAAAAAATGCTTTTAAAAGTAAAAAAAAAAAGCCTCTGATGATCGCGCAGCTCAGCTGGGATTGTCAGAGGCTTCTGAAAGCATATTTTCTGCAACCTCTTCGGCCGAAGAGGTTGTAGAAAAAAAAATGCCTTTAAAAGCCTCTGCGATCCCAGCTGAGTTGCCTGATTGTCAGAGGCTCCTGAAAGCATTTTTTTCTGCAACCTCTTAAGGTTGTAGAAAAAATGTTTTTAAAAGTAAAAAGTAAAAAAAAAAAAAAAGTTGGCCACTCCCATCCAATCATATTACCCCCCCCCACCAAGCCACACCCACAAAATAAGCTACACCCACAGAACCGGTAGTAAAAAAATTTAGAATTCACCCCTGGCTCTGACTATCATAATATAAGAACATAATGCAGGGAGAAGAGGACAAATAGCCTCTTTTAGGGTCAAAGAAGCTAATGTGGGGAAAAGGGTGCAAACATTTAGACAAACAAGGAGAATCATAGAAACTAGTAAGAAATGAACAATCCATGAAAAGAAATAAAAACATTGGCAGATTGGTCATCACTGGTCCCAGTTGGTGGGGGTTGTTTTCCATGCATGGATAAAAAAGTGAGAAGCAGGAGAATGACCAAGCAGACCTTGCAATGGCCCTAGTCCAGGTAAATACAATACCAGTTCCATTACCAACCTGCTGTAGTCTAGGATGGAATTTCTGACACTGGCTTAAGAAAAATATGTGCTGGATAAGTGGAAAGTATAACTCAGCATAGTGGATTAAGGAAAATTAGTGTAATGCTATTTTAGGAACAGAAAAACTCAATCAACAATCAGATACTTATATACCATCAATAATGTGATTTGCTTGTTTTTGGTTTATACAAGTGATATGCAAGTTCATTCTGTATAGCTTAGAGTTAAATGTGAACCAGACCATAAGTTGTTGTTCGACAATGCATGGTTCAAAAAAAAAATCTTGGCTCAGTATTATGTACAAACAAGGCCAGTCATAAAACAGAGGCTATTTTTTATGACCCTTCCTGGTTTCTTCAACACTACACTGCTTTTGTTTTTCACTTCTCCATTTACAAGCTTCCTTATTACATGAGAACTGAAACCCAGTTATACAAATACATTTGTGGGGAAAAAAGACTACTTGCATTTAGTTAAATGGGGAACTATACTTACTAGAAATAGCTTCCTCAAATGTAAGAGGAAAATGTTCTAGTAATGAGTGTTTCCAAAGAGAAATCTTCCTCCAGTAAAACTCAACTTTATGGACATATTCAGATTTCCTTGGCACAGTACTGGAATGGTTTGTCATTAGCTCAATGGCATTTGAACGAATGGAATGGCATTTCCACTTTCTAACAGGTTACAGTCTTATTTTTCTTGATGGTCTCTGATCCAATACTTAGTATTCAAGGCTTCGTTCCCACAGCATCTCTTATAAAGATGTGCAGTAGATAACCACCATGATGACTTACTGTATATAATAATCAGAAGCAATGAAGATAGTTTCATTATACCAATGCTTGGTATTTCAAAGAAAATGTTTTACTAAAACAGCATAAAACAAAGAACACGGGGAAAACATGGCTTGATCTTATACATGCCTACTTCAAATTAAGCCTTTTGGAGGGTTTAATCCTTTAGCTGGATTGTGAAATAATTGTCATTTCAACTTGGCAGCAATGCAGTACACAAGATTTCCAAGCAGTTATGAGCACATCTGTCTTGTGTTATTATAGGGGATTTGGGGGGGAACTGAAGGGAATTGAGATGCATTCTCTAATATACAGGCATATATTGCAGGTCCTTGAAATGTAGTGCTATTCTTGAGATTTTTGGGTTATTTGGGGGATGGACAGAGCACAGTTTGTAATTTACTAATAGCTCCCCAGATGATCTGAAATAGTTTGGGCAGGGATCAGATATTCCCAGTCTTTTAATAATGGCAACAACAAAATGTCCCCACTCTCTTAAATTATAACACTGTTTTCTGACAGGGATAAGTTTCAGTTCTAATAATCATAACTAATTCTTGACTAAAATTATTTCTGTCTAAATCTCTCTGTTTCCCCTATAAATAAATAAGATGATTATGATTATGATTTCAAAATTATAATAATTCTGAAATTCTAGTTTAAAAACAAAATAGTCTTTGAGTGAAATCTGAGCTCTGTTTTAGAACTATAATGGATTAGCTTCCTCAAAAGAAGAACTAGTAGCAAGGGTAACATTCAAGGATTTTGAAAATAAATTATTATCCATAAACTGTTGTTTGTTTCTTTGTTTTTCAAAGATCTTTATGGATACATTAAAGTACCTACAGAGCAAAGAACTCCTACCAGATGTGGATCCCGAGTTACTGTTTGCAAACCTGGAAGAATTAAATCAGGTGACAAGGAACTTTAGTGATAATAAAAATGTGGCTATACCAGAATTATTCATGCCAACAAATTAATGTAATAACTATAGCACTTAGGCTTATATACTGCTTCACAGTGCTTTACAGCCCTCTCTAAGTGGTTTACAGAGTCAGCATATTGCCCCCAACAATCTGGGACCTCATTTTACCCACCTCGGAAGGATACAAGGATGAGTCAACCTTGAGCCTGGTGAGATTTGAACTGCCAAATTGCAGGCAGCCGGCAGGCAACAGAAGTAGCCTACAGTACTGCACTCTAACCATGACGCCACTGTGGCACAGTAATAATTAAAGAAAAATATTATTGGTATCAAAATAATCCAAATACTGCTTGTTTTTTAAAATATAAATCTCTGGAAAATTGAAATAGAAAATACAAGATATTAACTTTTCCAAAGCATTTTTTCCCAAAGTTGTGATTTAATTATAAAGTATGTTACATAACCCTACGTTGAACAGAATTTGGAATCCTGGTCTGAGTGGTTAAAAACTGTGCACTCACCAAATCTAACATACTTTTTTTAATAATCATTCAAAACTCATTTTAGTATCTGTTAATAATTCATAGATGTGTCCTTATTTTAAGCAAGAGAAAGAAAAAAGATCTTGACATCTTAGCGTTATAAAAGAATGTCTTTGGCTCCCTGTCTTGGAACGATACATAAGATCCAGAAATATATTTTAATTTAATTTCAAAGGAACATTCATAGACGGTGCTACACAAATTCAACAGAGCAGTCCATCCACCCAACCTGGGCCCATCTAGAATTGCTCATCCTCAGTAATAAGATTTAAGAAAACGTTCCATTGAAAACAGTGAAAAGCTTTTTTTGCCAAGCCTAATTTGGCTGCCCAAGGAATGATCTGGAAAAATGGTCACAGTCACTTGTACCAAAACAAGCCAGGACAAACTCTGTTGCAGTGTATGTATAGTTTATTGAATAGCCCGAAGGCCTTTTCAAACAAAACAGAAAAGAAAAAGGGAAAAAGGTAAAACGGTTACAAAAATAGCAATTTAAAAATATATGATAGATGACGTTAAAATTTTACAATATCAATTTTCAATAGCCAAGACTAGATAACCCAAATAGGATAGCTCCTCTCTAACTGAGCTCATCTTCCTTACAATCGATAAAATGTTTTTTGATATAACTGGCTCGTATTGCTGTCATTTTTTTAAGATATCGAGTGATCGCTCTTACCAGGGGAGGAGAGTCAGCCCTCAACAGAAATGCTAGTTTTTGGCTTATATTCCAGTGGGGAAATTTATTTATAATTGGGGACAGATATTGTTTTCTTACTTCTTGATAGAGACTACATTCGAATATTATATGCGCCGTGTCCTCCACGACGTTTACCCCACATATGCATATTCTTTTGTCATACGGGATTTTCCGATAACGGCCGAATCTAACATTGGTATCTAGAAGTTCGAATCTAAACTTAACAAATAACTGTCTCTCCACTGATGGCATTTCTAAATGTAAATACTTTTCCAGAGTGAAAGTTGTTTTAACTGCTGTCAGCAGTTTAAGGGAATGATTAGTTGAAAGGGTTGCCATGTCCATTTGCCCATGTATATCTTTAATCCGTTGTTTAACTTGGTTCAGTGTGTCACACAACGGGAACCCTACGCCATATCGGTTCAATATTTCTGACAGCCGGGTTAGCCAGGAATACCTTTGAGGATTTGAAATCTGCTGTTCCTCTAGACATATTTTGGGGAGTCTGCTGGCATCCATCTGGGTCATTTTTAGCCAGTAGGCTACCGCCCTAGTGATTGTATAGGTGTACAGTGAGAAATGTCCCAATTCAGCTCTGACGGCTGCAGCTGAAGTGGAATTGTTTACCCCAAGCATCCTCCTTAACAAATTATTTTGAGTTCTCTCTAATATGGGGGCCTCTGTAAGACCCCAAATTTCAGCACCATAGAGCATGATCGGGACAAGTTTAGCCTGAAAGACTTTACGAAGAGGTAAGATGGAGGTTGGTTGGATTCGTTTACTTAATTTGGATACAAGGCTTGCTCCTGCTCTGACCTTTTGAGATTGTGGTTGTGATGCCTTCCTACCAATTACACAGTGACATCCCAAAACATTTTCAAGCCCCAATTGCGGCAGATGAGGTGGTCTTTCCCTGCTGCACAAAAAGAGCTCTCTTCAGTTTTTAATCCCATTTATTTCAAAAACTTCAATGGAAAGGAATGTGGCTCATTTTATTTATTTTATTTATTAAATTAATATGCCACCTCCCCTCACTGATAAGGTGATTCGGGATGGCTTGCAAACTTTACAGATCCTCATACCGTGCATATCTTAAAGTCTAGTATTTGGTCCCAAATTAATTTTAAATAATAAATATATTCTTTGCTTAGGTGACTCTAAGTTTTGTAACCAGTTTATTTAGCACCATGGAGGATCATCTTCTTGGGCGAACCCCCTCCCTTGATTTCATCAGTGTACTCACAAAGGTAATAAGTTACTGAATACATTCCATTATGAACCTGGTAAGAAATGTTGGAAAGCAGAAACTTTAATTCTCCTAAAGAAACCCACAATTCTGTCATTTTAGTCTCAAAACACTATGATGTCACATATAAAGGTATTTTAGCCACAAGTGTTCAAAGTGGCTTCCTTTCCTCTAGTTATGATAATGTGTTTTTCCCAAGTCTGTTGACTTCTGGATATCTAGAATATTTTGGTGCTCTTAATTTGGTGCAGGTTCCAAGTCTTTCGTCATTGTGGCTATGATGAGTAAATGGAAATCTGGCCTTTGGATAGGTCTGTTTGGATAACTATATACAATGCAAGACCATCACAGCAGTGAAATTTTGCTTTAACAGGCTAATTGGGAGGAAAGGTCTCTGTTGTTGAGAACGGTCCATTGAATGGGAGAATAGGGCATGGCAGTTTTATATGATTTGTGTGATTAAGTTGTGATGTGCATCATGCAAACTATGCTAGTTAAGTAATTCTCTGATTATCCAAAATATACAAATCACAGCTGAAATTCGGTCTTTATATGCAACGTCATTTGCAGAGGTGGTTTTCAGCAGATTCTGACCAGTTCTGGAGAACCGGTAGCAAAAGTTTTGAGTAGTTTGGAGAATTGGTAGTAAAAATTCTGACTGGCCCCGCCCCTATCTATTCTCTGTCTCCTAAATCCCAGCTGATCAGGAAGAAATGGGGATTTGCAGTAACCTTCCCCTGAATTGGGGAGGGAATAGAGAGTTTACAGTATCCTTCCCTGGAGTGGGGTGGGAATGGAGATTTTACAGTATCCTTCCCCTGCCACGCCCACCAAGCCACACTCACCAAGCCATGCCATGCCCACCAAGCCACACCCACAGAACCGGTAGTAAAAATTTCTGAAACTCACCACTGGTCACTTGCATTAAGTCTGGTAAAATGAGGTTTTAGGGATAGTTTCCTTTGTAAGCCAAAGAAAACCAATAGGTTCCATGATCCTATCCCTTTCTTGAGAAATACAGTAAATTTTACTAAAATCAATGGATCATCCTAAATGAATTTGCTTACTATTTTAAATCTTGCAATAAGACTGGATCATGCCCACTGTACTTTTGTTTTTGTAACAATCACGATCAAAGAACTAGTATTAATACATAGAAAGTTCAGCATCAGCATCATGGCTAGATAAAAATTTCAAGGCAATTTTTTTTAAAAAAAACATATGGATCAGTATGATTTGTACTCTACCAATAAGTGCCTAATATTTTGTTTATCTTCCAGCATTTCCAAGGTAACCTGTGTCAGAGCCACCAAATATATTGTCTGACGTACACTTCTGCTATTTTTTACTTGGAAAAACTGAAAAAAAGAGAAGATTTTGGGACCTTTTTGAAAGTAAAGCTATTAATTTTGTCTTTGATCTCTTTTACAGTGTTTAAATTGATTTCACTATGTCCAGAACAAATCACTATGTTCTGCCAAATGGCACAGCTAGCTCATTTTGGCTGATCTCAGAAGCATAACAGGGTCATATCTGGTTGATACTTGAATGAAGATGACCAGGAAATAGTAGGGAGGCAAGCAAGCCTGGAAGGAAAAGTAAATATGTACAGAAGGCAGCAGTGGGAAGCCATCTCAAAATTGCTGCGAAGGGGAAAAAAAATGCATGTGTTTATGAAAACAAAAATTAGCAAAGTCAGACTTAACACAAAAAAGCTTTAACATAACAATGTTTTTAAGCCACATTTTTAAATGTTGAACACTTTTTCTATTTCTGTATTGTAACTAAAAGTGTTTTAGTTGATTGTTTTGTATAGTTGATTACTAAAATAATTTATTTTTGTTCAGTCAAGAATGAAGTCTTGTTTATATATTTCTTTTTTTACTATGTACTTATTTTTTCTATTCTTATTTCTATTTTTCTTTTTTGAATTTCCTATTTTTTTATTCTTTTATTGCTTTAATTTTTTTAAGTGTAATGTTTAAAAGTAATAGTATAAGAATGCTATTTAAAAGATTCACTTAAAAGTAGAATAATTTGCAAAGATGTAAGTTATCCAATAAATAATGTCATATTCAATTTAAACTTAAGAAATAAATGGTTTATGGTATGACCAATATCCATTCTGTTAAGAAATCCCATTGAAATTGTTTCCTAATGTGTCTTTTCCATCAAATTTAACAGTGGTGTGAGCGGAATAAAGAATGTAAGCGACTCCGTCTAGCTGAAATGTTAGTTGCACCTTTACACAAGTTGACCCGTTATCCCCTCCTGTTAAAGAACATTTGGAAAAATACAGAGGCAGCAGAGAAAGTTATCATTAATTCACTGAAGGAAAAGGTGGAAACATCAATACGTGAGTAAAGAAACTCAAAACATCAATGCTGCTTTGAGATTTGTTCTATTCTGAGTTTCTCAAAGAAATGTGCAAAAAGTTGTTCTGTGATTTTAAGAAATAAAATAGCAACGCAAGGTTGATGTTACTTCATTACAGTGTTATATCTCCACTGCCTCATTTCAAAGGCTATAATATCTTTCAGTTTTGGATTTTTTTTCTCTCTACACAAGCCTTAAATTACCTCTGAAGGCCTAGGGCAGTGATGGCTAACCTTTTTGCTGCTGCGTGCCAAAAGGGGGAGAGCACAGGGGGGGAGCGCACACGCATGTCCCCACCCATAATTCAATGTACCCTGCCCCCCACACACATGCACACACAACCCCGCTGCATGACCCCCGCTTTTGGCACGCAATAGTACAGTGGGCCCAGTAGGCCTGTTTTTCACCCTCCCCAGGCTCCAGAGGTTTTCTTGGACCCTGGGGAAAGCAAAAACAACCTTTCCCACACACACACACACACACACACCCCAGAGGCCCTCCAGAGGCTGGAAATGGCTCATTTCCTGACTTCCAGTGGGTCCGGGATGCCCATTTTTCACTCTCCCCAGGCTCCAGAGGCTTTCTAAGAGCCTGGAGAGGTCCCCAGTGGGACCGGAAGTCCCGAAAATCAGCTGACCAGCATGCATATGCACACTGGAGCTGAGCTAAGGCAATGCTCACATGTCCACAGATATGGATATGGGAACCTTTTTGTTCTGAAAATTAATGTACACATTATTTAATATTACTATTAGTAGTAGTATTGGACAAACTTACTGAAAAAAAATCAACCTATTCCAATTAAAATAAGCACAAGAAACTAAAAATCTGACAATTCCGTTTTAGGGTGTGTGTATGTAAACATTCACTACTTTGTGTAAAGATTGCTAATGATCATAGTTTGCCACTATAAATGTTTATAGAGATATTATCAGTCATCAAGTCTTGACTTTCTGTTGCATATTTTTTAGGGGATTTGGAAGGTAAAGTGAAATGGTTGGATAATTTTCAGAAATTTAAACAGCTTCAGGAAATTATAATTTGGCCTTCACTTTGGGATCAAGACAAGAGACAGTTTGTTCCTGAGGTATGCAATTTCTTGATTATCACAGAAAATTTTATAGTATAGTCTTTAATCTTTCTCACCTAAGAATTGTCATATAAATGAAGTAAAAAATTCTAACCATTATCACATAGTGTGCATATTCCACCTTCATGGCAGGTAGATCACAATATTCAGACACAATATTGAATATGAAAGATTACCATCTGTTGATTATTTGTTTCAAATGATGTATCACAGTATGAACTATGAAGGTTGAAGGGTCTCCAGGCAAGTATGGCCTTGGAAACTCTTAAAACGAAAATCTTGTATTTTCACCCCTTCAGTCCCTCCCCCATGTTCCAGTTGCTCTTTTATAACATTTTTTTAATGTTTGAATATGGTATATCATAGTTATACTCAGCATTTTCATTTCTTTGGCCAGCCTCCAAGAGAAGAAAACATGACCAGAAACAAATATGTGCGTGTATTGCTGAAGTCAGAATCCCTGATCTCATTAACAAAGCAGGGCTAAAGATTAGTGCTTAATAACTTTTTATTGTGAAGTTTGTACATGAGATTTTATTCTCGTAGCCCTTAACAGTATCATGGTGGGTCAGTTTGTTTTTTATTGACATCTACTTGTTATTTATTTTCTTTACATTTTCAAATAAAAATTCACTTATCTACTAAGTGGCCTTTTCTGGCTTCCTTTTCCCCCATCTTAAGCCTCTCAAGTACATGCTAAGAGATAATCCACATGAAAACATCTTGTCACCTACAAAGAGATCACTTGTTCTTGAAGGCCGATTGATACTTGCAGGTAAATACAATATTTCATATTTACAGGCATATTAGACAGTATGCAGGATGAAATAGCTTCCAAACCTCACGAAAGAACAGAAACAAAGTCTTAACAAAATAAGGCACAGAAAACATGTTATCCAGGTAGAATTTCTAGTTCATTTTTGTGTCCAATTCTGGATATTTACTATTTAATAAGTAAAAGTACATGACCATAGTTTGAAATCAGAGCATTAATCAAAGAAAACTAGGGCTTCCATAAATGCCACAAATGTTAAGTATTCAGAGATTTTATAAAATCAAGATAGCATCCCTCTTCATGGTTTGCAAAATCAAAGTCTATTACTTAGACATGACCAAGTGAATCTCCAACAGGTGTTCCCTTGCTTACATACAGGTATTCCCAGGATTGGTTCAGAGGTCTACTAAAGTATTAATTCTTGAGGAATTCTTTTGTTCAGCCTGTTATGGGTGCAACTGCAACTCCTTTCTCTTAGCCAGTTCTCTCCTATTATGGGACTGGGTTTTTTTCCTGATGAACGGGAGCAGTTACTGTAGAACTCTAGACTTGAAATCCATAGTGTGCCCTAAAGTTACTTCTGCTGCTACCAGTGCTTTGCAAGCATTTACATAATTCAGCCTTGTAGATACAATTGCAAGAATTTTTACATGAAGATCTATCTTTACATTGTAGTCCATACAGTACCACCGTGGCTGATATGAATGTTTAATAATTAAAATACAAATTTAATCTTTTTATACTTTTAAAGTTGTAGGGTATTAATAGGAAGGGGCTGTTTTCTTCCAATTTCCTCATACCTAAAAGGATATTTTAAAATCAAAGATCTATTGGTTAGAAAACATAGGTAACATACTTTTCAACTTCTTCCAAAATTTTCTGTTAGACCTGCCAAAATCAAGAAGTAGTGAGGAGCTCAGAAAATAGTTTTGTTTTTAATGTACCTGTATCATGGTTCACCTTTATTTGCTTTGCAGAATCTATGCGATTTACCGACGTCTATCTCTTCCTATTTGATGATTTGCTATTGATTACAAAACCTAACAGATATAAAAAGGTAACAAAATAAAAAAGGAAAGAAAGAGAAAAATAAAAATCAGCTGCATTTTTATACATTTTGACTTGTTGGGAACAGGAATTGTAGACAACTAGCAAAGCAACTATTTAATTATCAAAGAATTCAGAAGAGGACTATGGAGCTAAACTATATCCTTTTGCAAAAAGCTACCTGACTTATTTTCAGAACTGTTTCATTCAGCACTTGGAATTGTGTCCCGTTTTCTTTTTTCTTCCTGAGACAGTTTCTGATAGAGAGCACATCTTGCTAACATTTACAAAGACATACCTTACCAAACAAGCCCATTGTTTGCTTATATGGAGGTATTACTTTTTGGAATGGCCCCCAACTTCTGTTGTCCATCTTAGTGCCATCCTGATCAACAACTTTCGAATCAGCAGGAACCAATCTTAAGAAGATGGAAAAATATAGATCAAAGAGATGGCAGATGGAAATAAGGAATTTGCAGCAGTCTAAACATGTCTTAGTATAAAGAAATCCCTAGAAATTGGGGAAAAACAGACCTACTGAAATGCAAAGACTCAGCTTAGCTGAGGAGGGAGGGAGGAAGCTTATCCTTGAAGATCAACTTTAAAGGAACAAAAAATACTCTTGTAAACCATACACTAAAGCCATTGGTTTATTCTTTGGTGAAAGTTAGTCTCCCAGAACAGAAGGGCTTTAAGGGTTGCCATGATACAAGGCAAGTCTTTGGAGGACCTGTAATACCTGCTTATGTCAACCATGTTTGTTTTTTGGATTTGGTTCCATACTTTCAATATCTTCTATTTCATTGTGCATAATAGTTATTACAGCTTGGCTGAAGGATATTGGATGGGAACTCCCCTTGGGTCTCTTCACAATAGGTAGTAAATACCTATTAATAACCAGAGAATGTTTCTGGCTTATGTCAAAAGCTATGCAAAGAGTGACTTGCTTCAGAAAACCACTAAGATGGGGCTAGCTGTAATCATGGTTTGTTGAACAAGGTATATTAGCCTGGTTCAAGCATAACGCTATGACAGGGCTGTCAAACTCCCAGCCCACAGGCTGGATGCATCACACGTCACATCCAGTTTAGCAAAGGGGGGAAATGTCCCAATACATCATGTGACACCACCGTGACAACATGAGTTTGACACTCCTATGCTATGATTTCTTGAGCATGATGATTCACATTTCTCATTAAGCCAAAAATAAAGAAACCCTATTATGGTTTAGCATGTTGTAGAAAGTAGACACTTGTAGTATAGCTTTTTTTTTTATTGCAAAAGTTTTACAATTACATTTTCACCCCATTTCCCCCCCCAACCCACCCCAACCTCCCCAACCACCCTAACCCTCCCAAACCCCCCCCAACCCTCCCCTCCCCCCCGGACTTCCATAGAATATAATCCATTCAAAACCCCCTTTTTATAAAACTTGAACCCCTCCATCCCCCATATAATTTTTCATCTTCACAAAACTCAAATATTTCTATCTTTATATAATACTTTCAGTGAAAAGCTATTTGATACTTCCTAGTTTGATATTTATTCTGCACATAATCTATCCACTTTTTCCACTCCCATTCATAAATCTCTTGTGAGCGATCTTTTAGATATGCTGAAATCTTTGCCATCTCTGCAAAACTGGCCATCTTCAAAGTCCATTCCTCGATAGTGGGCAAAGCTTCATTTTTCCAATATTTACCTATCAATAATCTCGCTGCTGTTATCATATACAATATCAACTTAGTTTCACCCGATGTAAAACCCTTAACTATACCCAATAAAAACAATTGTGGAGAAAATTGAATTTTTTTCTTCAAAACATTCTGCATAACCCACCAAATTATTATCCAAAAAGCCTTAACTTTCTTACAGGTCCACCAAACATGATAATATGTAGCATCTAAGCAGTCACATCTCCAACATTTTGGCTGAACATTAGGGTACATACACAATTTCTTAGGGTCTAAATGCCATCTGTAAAACATTTTATAAAAGTTTTCCCTCAAATTCTGCGACTGTGTGAATTTAACATTCTGAACCCAAATTTTTTCCCATGTTTCCAACATCACTGGTTCTACAAAATTTTGTGCCCACTTAATCATACAATCTTTAACCAACACTTGTAGTATAGCTTTTGATAGAAGCAGGAAATGGCCCTACTTATTCATATTAGTAGCTAGATTTATACATCAATTTCATATTCTTATTTCAAATAATTTTGTCTTTTCTTTTCCTTCCTCCCTCTTCTCTTTGAGCATGCCCAAACTTGTGTCAGTATGTTTCTGAGCTAGTTTCCTGTCTCCTTCCAAATTCGTTTGTTTCCTTTTCCTCCATTCCATCTGCCTCCCATTAATTGAACTATAAAGGTTAATTAAACTACAACATAAAGTAGAGGATTTAAGATGAGCTTGCTAGCTCTTCCTAAAGTTTCTATTTCAGTGGCAACTGTGGGCAACGATATCAAAATTGGCATCATTATAAAGCCCCTAGATCTTTTGAAGTATATGCACATAAATGCCAGGCCTTGCATCGCAACACTGTATCTGCAAACTTGCCATTTTTTACACTTGCCCTACTCCCACCCCCACACTACTGTTTATTCCTATTTATTTATCTCAGAGGATCCTTTTTCCTATCTCCTGCATTTAGCTACTTACCTTAATTTGAACCTTTCCTGCTTTCCCTACAACCATGGATTGTAAATATATTTTTCATTTCATTTCAGAGATTTGACTTGAGTTTAACACCTGCTTGTTCTTTCTTCAGTCTGGAGTTGCAATCTTTGCTTGAAGAAGGTGGTAACTGCATAGTACTTGGCCAGCCTATCCCATTAGATAGAATTATGGTAAAAAATATTGATTCATTCCATATCACAGGTATGTTAAATCTCTTTGCCAGAGATTTTATAAATTGTACATGTCATATACAGTATACAATAGTTTATTGAGGGCCTGGTCATTTACATCAGCCCTCTTTAAAATATTTAGAAAACTTAAATAATGAACAGGGGTGTGAAGCTTTTCCAAAAATGTCTACTTTCATTGCAAATCCTCTACAGTCATTGCATGTATGAAACAGTTTGTAAGGAATGAATAGACATCATACAATGCTGAACTACAGATGGATGTACTGTATTGTGGATTTGATTTTTAAAGTGTGCTGGGGAAGAAGCCAAAGTGATGAGACAAACACACAATTTAGCATTGACATTGGTATTCATTGTTAAATCTAAACCATCTATTCTTACTGTACTCTTTTCATGTGAAAATGAACTTTTTGCAAAATAAATCTTATGTTATCTACTTTCAAATAAATCCAGTATGATATTTGAGTTCTCCACTTTCTATGTCCCTAACATATATTAATATGAAACTATTATTCACAACTGATAAGAGTTTTGATACCTCTATATACAATGCATCTGACTGTGATATGATTATTTTAACTCCTCAATATTTGATTAATTAAATACTACTGGTGTTATGGGCATTACAGTGATACTTCTATCACAAGAAATCATACTGTATATGTCTAAAACCAACTTCAACTCTTAAAACTGTAATCTACCTTTCTGCCTTGTATATAGAGACAGAGATGTTTAAGGTCAAATATATAATGAGCAGAGAAAAAATGAGGTACTATTATGCCCTTTCCTTAGAATAGCAATAAGTATGCTTATAATTAAAATGGAAATGGAAATGGAAAAGCTAGCTTTCACATTCACATTTAGATTTAATATAATCTATTCTATTAATACAATCTATTATATTTGGAAATAGTAACTCAGACAGCTCTGAGATTAAATATCATCACTTATAAAAGTAGCCTTTTCTTAATATTGATAAAAATGCTAGCCCATTATTATACTATCCTCTTCACAGCAATCGAAAGGGATTCCTTTGATGATGAAGCAAGAGTAGGTATTAGCAGCAGAAGTGACATTACATGAGCAAGAACCAGTTAGGAGAAAATGGGATGTCCAAAGTGTGTGTGATATTGCATTTTAATTTCCTTGAAGAACTTTGTGCTTAGTACTCAACACTGATTTTCATGAATATTTTTGGAAATCTTGTTGTTGTTGCTGTTTTCTTACCACTTAGGGCCACTTTTTAGACTGCATTTACATCTAAACCTGAGCTATCTTTGTTTAGGAACTTACATGATAGGAATAAGACAGAGGGAAAACAATAAATGGGGGAAACCAACATTAGAGAGTAGAAACACCCATTGTCTTTGATGAGACCTATTTTTATGTATATATGTATTGCATCCTGGCATTCTCATCTCTTTCCCCCAATAAAAGACTTTAAGGGAAAAGAACCAGTTAAGAAATCTCAATGGATTAATAACTAATATTCCAAAATGGCTCCATGAAATTAACCCAAAAGTCACTATTGCCTACTTTTATATAAAAGAAAGTTAGCTGACCACTCTATTGAAGTTATTCACTGCATGCACTGTACATCAGCAGCAGTTACATTTTCCTGTTACAAACTGAAAGGCAGTTATTTGTTGTTTATAGAGATCTGGAATAAAGCTATATCATGTTTCTCTATTTCCTTAGCTTTGGGACTACGAAATGCTTTTCTAATACAGCATGAAAATAGATATCAACAGTGCATAGGAGCCTATTTACTTCAAGCACAAACAGAGGTATCCAAGGTAGGCATTTTTCTTTAGAAATGTTTCTTGAAAGCATAAAATGTATCCATGCTTATTGGCCTCCTTGATGGATGAAGTGGTACTTCCTGCCTTGAAAAAATTCTAGTGCTTCTCTCCTTAAGAGATGGCCCATATTTGGATCCAACAGTTTTCAGTAACTATCATCTAGTATCCTTTCTTCTTTCTGGAAAAGGTTGTTGAGAAAATAATTGGTCTGTAGTTGATGGGAACTCTTGAGGAAATACATTATGTAGACCAGGGGTGTCAAACTCGATTTCATTGAGGGCTGCATCAGGTTTGTGTTTGATCTCAGGCAGCTGGGGTGGGTGTGGCTGGGGTGGGGTGGGTGTGGTCAGGGTGGGTGTGGCCAGCATGACATCACTTTTGTTGAGGGGGCACCTGTCATGACCCGAGTGCTCTGCCAGCGAAAACGGGCTCGAGAGCTCCATTTTTGGCTGCAACAGCCTCCTACAACCCTCTGCCAGGGAAAACAGAGCGCAGGGGGCCACGCATGGCTCTTGCACAGCCTTCCCAAGCTGCATTTTCGCTGGCAGAGGCACCGTGGGCCAGTCTTTTGCTATATTCAGGGGTGCCCCCATAGACCAGATCTAAGCACCCCATGGGCCAGATCCAGGCTGTGGACCTTGAGTTTGACACCCCTGATGTAGACCCAGTGTAGTCAGGTATGAGCCATGGTTTAGTATTGAGACAGCTTGGGTTGTCCTTGTAGATAACATTCAGAGAAAGGGTGGAAGTAGTTCATCTATCCGTGTGCTTCTTGAATTCTCAATGGTTTTTGATACTGTTGACCATGGTATTCTGACATGCTTCCCTGAGCTAGGGATGGTGAAATCATTTCTCCTCCTTTTTCTAGAGCCAGCTCCAATCAGTATTGCTTGGGGGAGAAGAAATCACTCTTGACCCCCTTTTGTAGGATGCCAGTTTTACTCTGTCCCCTTTTTCAATATCCATATGAAACTGCTAAGTTCAGTACCACCATCAATACATGGATAATGTGTAATTATATCTCCTGACCTTGGGCTGGCCAAGCTGTTAAGGTTCTGTCCCACTGGAGTCTGTGCCAGTTTGGATGGGGAGGAATTCACTCCTATAAAGACCAACTTGCTCTGAGTACTTGGGCCACTCAGATCTTGAGTTATTCATCTTTGACCTTGCATGGGATTGCACTTTCCCATGAGGATCTCAATGAGCAGGTGGCTGCTATGACCAGGATGTCCTTTACACAGCTTCATCTGGTACATCAATTATGCCATCCTAGATCAGAAAGACTGTCAGATAATCATACCCTGAATATCTCATGACTTGACTATTGTATGTTGCATGCGGGGTTGCCATTAAAGATCACTCAGAAGCTTCAATTGAGCCAGAGAAGAGTGGCATGGGCAGTGAAGACAATGTCTCAGTGTGCCATGTAGCACCTCTGCTTTATGAACTGTACTAGTTGCCTGTTTGGTTCCTGTGCAACTCAAGGAGTTGCTATTCATATAAACTCCTTTATGGTATACCACTTAATGTTTTTGTTGGTTTTTTGTTATTCTTGCTGCTTTTTTGTTCTCTTTTCTTTTCTCTTTTGGATGTTTTTATTTGTGAACTACCCAGTCATTGAAGTTAGGTGGCATACAAATTCAATAAATAGTAAAAAATTATTTAAAACTTTTGCTTTTTTTTCTCAGAAAACATGGATATCCCAGATGGAAACAACAATCACCAACTATATAAGAAGAAATAATCTTTCAAAAACTTCCTTTTTCAATACACTTGCTGAATCCTCTGAAATTTAGCTGTAACTTGTAATGTTTTTACTTTTTAAATATTTTTGAATATTTAAAGAAAATTTTTGAAATGTTTTCAAACCTTTCTGAAATGAGAGTATTTTTTTAGTTAGAACAGAGTTCAGGGGATAACTCGTATGAACATATGCAAACATCAATGTTACTACGATCTTTAGTTCATCTGCATTTACTAATAAACATAAATGGGGGGAAATCAGAATATTAAGTGCCATTAAAATAACATTCTTAACTTACCTTCGCGCTTAATTTTTCATCAAACTAACTACAATAGCATTATACTGCTTGTCAAAAAGAGAAGGCATCCCTAAGTGCATATGATCTGCCTAAAAATCAGTGACAATAAAAAAAAACCTGAAGATAACAATGATGAAGACAAAGCAGATGAACTAGTGAGAAAGAAAAAAAATTATAATATGCAATTTGACTACAAAAACTAAAAAAAAATTGTTAGAATCCATATGGTGTAGAGATTAATTTAATCATATTTATCATTTGTTATGATAAACTGGCCAACGAAGAAAAGGTACCCAGCAGAGATTTGCTGGTAGAACTTTCATCTAGGTGAAAAACCTTGATTCTACTTTTTGAGATTTTTAAATTCCAAAAAGAATGAAATGATCTAAAAGGGTGTCAAGTAAAACTCAAGAAGATAGATATTTAATAGCAGAACAAAGATCTTAAAAATTTCATATCGCTCTAGAGGCAGTGATTCTTCCTTTCTGCACTAAAGAGATACTTGGGCATAAAGGAGAAACTGAGGGCTTTTTTAAAGGGTTTGGTTTTTTTGGATAAAACTATTAGCAGATGGATTCATGATAAGGCTTTGAAATGTTTGTATCTTGGTTATCAGACACTGGAAGAACAGCTCATTTGCTAGAATTCATCTGTCATATTGATGACTGTAAAACAGAAGTGTTCTGTTGTAATGAATTAACAGGGTTTTATGGCTGCAAAGTTCTTCTGAAGCAACCATGCTAACAGAAAATGGAACAGAAATGGCACAGAATATGATTTATGTGTTTAGTAACAAATATATTACCATGAGTAAAAAGAACCTGACAGATATTTGACAACCAAGTTAACTGGAATTTCTCAAAGCCACAGGTAGAAATAACCTTATATATAGTGGCTTATATAATCTTATATAAATCAATGACTTTTGATTTATAAATTAAAATGTTGTTATTAAAGAGTTCATCAGATATTATTTATGAGTAAGTGATGTACTTGGTAGCACCTAAGTAACTTTGGCTCATTTTGAGAAGCTAAGCAAGATCCAATCAATCTGTTCTTTTGGATGAAAGGCCATTGGGAAATACCAACATTTAGGGGAGACTGAAAAGTGGGGGGGGGGAGAGAAAATCTTGGATGAAGACAATGGGAAATCACTTTGGTATTCAAACCACCCATCATTTCAGACAGAATGAAAAGCTACACAAATACAGTATGTCCAAAAAGTTGTTAAGAGAGGAGCATGGCTGTTTTTAAGGTTGACTAGCAATATAGCACACATACTATTACTTGCAAAAGTAATTTGCAAAACATGCAAAATCCATTATAAATCTTCCATTATGAGAGGTCTTTTTATTTTTTTAGAATATAATGTATCACTCATTGTGTCCATTCATGCCCCTTAGCAATTAATAAAGGATGCTATGGGATGCTAGTCAAAAAATTGAGATGTTTTGGTGAAACTGCTACTAAAAATACTTTCATATGATTTGAACAACAAGACTCCGAACTAATTAACTTCCCTTATTGGCTCTCTAGTTCATAAAACACAGCCATTAAGGATATTGATTCTACAGACTTTTATAGCAATACTAGACAACACATAACCTTTTGGATCATTGTTTCAGAGGTATTTCCTTACTGAAACAAAAGACCAAAGGAAAAAAGAGTGGATGAGAAAGCGACTTCCAATTTCCTGCCAGCTTGAGTGCATCTGACTGCTCTTTGGCAGCTGATGATGGGACTGGTCTACATGACCTGCAGAAAGCTAGGGCAGAACTGATGTTCTGAAACTCCAAGCAGCACTGAAGTGACCATAAATTTGCCAAATTTTAATCCCAGAGAAGTCATGGATCCCAGGCTTTGAATGCTTCTGTAAGTCATCTGAACTGCAAGATGGACAGCAAATAAATTTGATAAAATAACGATAAATAAATAAGTTGCCTCAAATAAGTTTGAGGTATCTTGGTTCAAAAATTGTTGCCCTGTAATGCATTGTTGCATCCAGTTATAAAGACTACAAGACACAAGAGTTTTAGTAATACACAGATTGAATTTTTTATACAAACTATTAAACCCAAAGAACTCAGTGAAAATGATAATCACTTAAAACAGCAATTTCCTAATACGGAATAAAGCAGTAAATTCAATCTTGCCACAGCCAAAATATGAAATAGTTGAAGCATTCCACTAATATGTGAATTGCAGATAAATAGGTTTGACATATACAGCAGATAGCTTTCCATACCAGGAAAAGTGTACCAAAACAGTAATTGCAAATGGTCTATTAGAAATTTCTAATTTTATTTTCAGCCCAATAATAGAATACAAAAGTAATATTTCCATAAGTATCCACCCATGGGTTTCATACAGAATTAGTGATTGTGGTGTCATTTTTCTCACTACTCAGCTTCCATCACTTTCCAAATGCAGAGTTTAGGAATTACAGTGTATACTGAACTAAACTCTTTAACATTATAAGGCACGACTACATGACTACAAGTCATAAACACACCACTCAAAGAAGGACTTAAGAGAATCCACCTGATAAAAATTGCCATGCAAGACTATCTAAAGATAATGTGAATGTAAGGATCCACTTGAAAAAGAAGTGCAATCTTATGTAGATAAAGCTACCTTAATATATGTGTAAATTTAAGATAAGCACAGAAATTCTTCAAGTCTAATTTATACAATATACAGACCCCATCCCAATAAACATTATGCACAATATTCACATCTGCGAGCAGAATAAACCAATAGTTAAAAAGAGGCCAATAGGACAATACAATTTGTGGCACACTTCCATTATAGCATAATAGCATTTGTCAATTTCTTGTCATGAGCACTGTAAATAGAGGCTAACTTAATGACATGTAAATATTAAGAGCAGCCAATGTGACACATACAGCTGATATAGATCAAACGCAAATAGGAACAGTTGTATAATTTAATTTTTCTCCAACACTTACAGGTTTGTAGAATTAAAGGAACTCAAAGAGTATAGATTTATAATAACTGTAAGTTACATAAGCACACATACTGAAATATTTCATTTTTGGTGAATCAAAATGTTTTAAAATTTGGCAGTAACCACAAATCAAACCTAACATCATAGTGAGGGAACCATTTTAAAATGGGCTCAAGTTGAGTGTTTTATCAAGAGGTAGTTAAAATGAAATCTTACATAGTGGCATTCTTAGATTGGGCTTTTTGTGTGTGTTTTTAAAATAATTTTATTAGAAAAGTGATAAATCCTATACAAGCAGCATTTTGGATAGATTTCTATTACAAAATGTTTCTTTGTTTATTAACCTGATGTAACAATATTTTTTCTTTCTCTTTGGTGCAAAGAGTTTGGATTTAACCACATAGTACAATGTAGGTGGCATGAAAGCTATTCAAATCTGCCACACTAATCAACAACATATACTGTATTTGAAATTTATAAATTCAGAACGCCAATAACAAACTTTATTCATATGGGTTTTAAAGAGATCACAGGAGAAAAACAAATCTCTGCTGAATGGTGTTGCCTACCAGACAAACTATTTTTCTCATGACTATTTTCCTGTGGGCCTGCTATCAAATGATTATATACTGAGGCGAGCAGTTAATGTTAAATATGGACAGATTTATTCATTGTTTAACTCTTAAATGGAACTTAAAATAAACCACATCTAAGTTTTAAAGAAACAATACAAATACTAACTTTTCTGTTCTTAAGTAGGGAACTTCCTTTTCTGTTTATTGCTATGACCTGGAAATAGATCACCTAAATAAATTTTAATGTAATTTAATACGAAAACAAATGTTTATATAGGAACAATGAAAGCCACTGAGAACATGAAATGTGCAAAATTGCCAAGTCCACTTTTTCTATTCTTAAAATCAAGCAGTGCTGCTAAAGAATATGCAAACCACTTTAGTATACACTATGTATACTAAATTATGTACCTCTGGAGTACATAAAAATTATGAACATAATATTACTAAACACCATATGAAATTACTAGGGAATTGAATGAGCACTTAATTAAGAATGTACAATTTTGTAGACCAATTACTGCATCACTTCTTGCAAACATTTGTTCCTTCTCTTGCATATAGTGCTGGTTACACTAAAAAGTGCATAGTGCAAGTGACAATGCTATACCTTGCTCTTCCTGAGTTTTCAATGTTTAAACTATCAGATCAACCTCATTTTCTTTCTCTGGACAAGCTGAACTTTTATCCATGTGCGTGTGAATGTGTGTAAAACGTCTAGAGACTGCAATGAAAGCAAATCCCCATTTAAATGAGGAGCAGATAGTTTGCTTGTTTTTAATATCCTTTTTAAAATACTTAGAAAAAATGCAAATAACAGATACAACCTTGGAAAAGAATTCCTCCTTATTTTATACATAGGAAGCCATTTCCAAAATGACACCTGCTATAACACATACAAGCATCATCTTAAAAAAATATTACTTCCCCCCCTGTGAATCAGTTTCTTTATATGTTAATTTATGAGATGAAGAGTTCCATATATAATTAATCAACTAAGCTAAATCAGAAGATAGCCCCAATAAATTCAGTTCCTAGCATGAATACTTCATATTTTATCTTTTTCCAAATTAGATTAAAGTGATAGTGAATAAAACAGGTGGATAGTATCTGAATTGTATCTCTGTTGTAGACTGTATGAATAGCTGATATAGAAAATTTGACCTCTGTACGTTATATTCATATTTGACCATTTGGACATTTTTACCTCATGCCGATTCATAATCTATTGATACAAAATTGTATAGTTCACAACTATTTTTTTCTCCAGGATTTCAGACAAGAAAAAATGGTGTGTAAACCCTAGTACCGGTACCTGTGAATTTATGATTTGGAGATACAAGTAGTAGAACTAGAATATTCTACATGGAAAGCCCTCTCTGTTAATATATCTTTATTAAAGTACTTGTGTTACTTTTTTTCCTACTTCCATATTCATTTCTATGTCTACAGCTACACTCATCTCCCATGCAAACAGGTTACAAATCCAAAGAAAAGTTGATTTTAAAGATTACCTTATATATATTTTACTAAACTAGATTTTACCAGTGCATTATTTTATAACACCACAGTGTGCATAGTAGTGTATGTATATCCCAATTTCAACTGAAACAAACATTGTTATCCACCTATTAGTTTAAAAACAGTAATTTTACCTAACTTTCAGATGAATAAAATATGACATTACTTTTTAATAAGCTCCATGATTAGGGAAAACAAGAGAAACTACTGAGAATTTAGGTTTCTCTTCAATCTTCAGCAGTGCCGAGTTTCATTCCAAATTTTAAGGAGGACAAAGATTTATAGTAATAATTAAAATGGGAACATGCACCCTGAATGTTCCCCTGCAATTCTTTTCATTGAAATTGTAAAATAATTAATAATTATCATAACTATGTATCTTTCAGTACCAGAATTTGCTATGCTTGGATCTTCCAGGCAATATTTCTTGTGAATAAGACAGAACAGTGCAAACATATTTAAATAGTACAAAAAATGTAAAGGAGCATAGGAATTTGCATATCAAAGATGATGTAGCCCAACTATTTTCAACAGGATGCAGCATATTCTTAGAGAAGAAATATCAGATCTACACTATAGTATTGGGATTGCTTTTCATTTTCTGTGACGTATATTGTACAGTGATACTATAGAAAAACAGCTTGACAATCTTGAGAGTTCAAGGCAGTTTCCACTAACTAGACATAATCATAAAAAGGAACTCACAATGAAAAATTAAGAAAAAAGAGGAAAAAACAATAGACACGGAAAGCTGCTTGTTTGAGGCTGTTAATACCTTATACATTTCTGAACAATCGTTAAGTTATACTTATGCAGCAATAATTGAAACACAAAATCCCTGCAAAACTGTTTAAAGGGGTTGTTTCTGAACCAACAAATTAGGATAAAAAAATACATTATAACTCCTCT